AAATAACTGCCCGCTAATTTTGTCTAGTTTCTAGTATTCAAGAGATTTGGTTGAATAAGAAACTGACATTTTTTTTTTGCATAGTATAATAAAGAAAATAAAAATAACTATAAGTATAACTACGACAATGTCAGACGAAAAATGAGTAATAACCTTAATAATTATTAATGCCTTATTATTTATGGTTGGGGCTTTGGCTCCGACCATTACGGTTTGGATTGAACACCGCTTAAAAAAAAGAAAGTATAACGCTGAGACTAAGGAAGTTGAGTTGAAGAATAAAATTACCCAGGATATAACTTACGAACAGTTAAAAAAAGATAATTTGCGAAAAAATATCAGCGGCTCGGTTAAACTTTTTCGAGAAATATCGAATTTAGAAGACGAGTTAGAGAAGGAACAAAATCCCGAAACTCGTCGTCGGCGTTTGGAATTACTAGCCAAGTTGGAAAAAGCTTTCGGCCAAACTCTTGGTAAAGAAACCGAGCCGCAAGGCGAGGAAAAACCACGGTTAACTACCAAAGAAAAAAAAGAAAAAGAGAAGTAAGTTTTTTTATTGTCTTAAAAAGAGTTTTGTCATTTTTTAATTGTTTCTAATGCCAGCAATTTAACCAAGAGAAATCGCTAGCAGCATTATTTTTTGCAATTAAAGTTAATTATTTGGGATATATGGTGCAAATGCCGTAAACTAATTCTCAGTATGTGGTCCCTCTTTTGATACATTCTCATTTTAACTGTTTACTAATCACCCGTTAATTCAGCCTGAAAAAAAAAGAAAATTTATTTCCCCGCAAAACCTCACTAATTAGAGAAAAGAATGTAAAATAGAAATATGATTATTGGTCCTACCGAATTAAAAAATGCTGGTCTGCATTTCGGTAACTTAACACGGAAATGAAATCCGCACATGCAGCCTTACGTTTACCAAAAAAGTAAAAAAATTTACCTCCTGGACTGACATAAAATTATTGCTAGTTGCCAGAAATTAGCCAACTATATTAAGGAGTTAGTAGCCGATGGTAAAAAAATCTTATTTTTAGTTACCAAAAAATCCACGCGGGAAATCGTAGCCGAGCAAGCCCGCCGATGCAACATGCCTTTCATTGTTAACAAATGAAAAGGCGGCTTTTTAACCAACTTTTCCGAAATTAAAAGAAAGCTCAAAGAATTACAGTATCTTACAGCTTTTATGCAAAAAGATAATTTTTCAAATTTTATCAAGAAAGAGCAAGTTGCCATTCAAAAAAGACATGATAAATTACATATTATTTACGAAGGAATTGTTTCTTGCAACCA